TCAGGGTCTTCTCCAGTGAGTGCTCCCTTCTCATTGGGTGGCCAAAGTATTTGAGCTTCAGTTTCATTATCTGGCCTTCCAGGGAACAGTACGGGTTGATTTCTTTTAGGATTGACTGATTTGATCTCCTTGCAGTCCAAGGGACTCTCAAGAGTCTTCTCCAGCACCATCGTTCAAAAGAATCTATTCTTCAGCACTCGGCCTTCCTTATAGTCCAACTCTCGCAGCCATACATGACTACTGGGAATACTATTGCTTTGACCATGCGGACTTTTGTGGGCAGGGTGATGTCTCTACTTTTTTATCATGCTGTTGATGTTCGCCATCGCTTTCCTCCCAAGGAGCAGGCATCTTTTAATTTCATGGCTGCTGTCACAGTCTGCGGTGATCTGGGATCCCAGGAATGTGAAGTCTGTCACTGCTTCCACGACTTCCCCCTCTATTTGCCAAGGAGTGATGGGGCCGGATGCCATGATCTTAGTATTTTTGATGTTGAGCTTCAAGCCCACTTTTGCGCTCTCCTCTTTTACTCTGAGCAAGAGGCTCTTTAGGTCCTCTTCACTTTCTGCCATTAGAGTGGTATCGTCTGCATATCTGAGGTTGTTGATCTTTTCCCCAGCAATCTTAATTCCGGCATGTGATTCATCCAGGCCAGCATTTCGCATGATGTACTCTGCATATAAATTAAATAAGCAAGGTGACAATATACATCCTTGTCGTACTCCTTTTCCTACGCTAAACCAATCAGTTGTTCCATATCCGGTTCTAACTGTCGCTTCTTGGCCCTTATACAGGTTTCTCAAGAGACATGTGAGGTGGTCTGGTACTCCCATCTCTTTAAGGACCTGCCATAGTTTGGTGAGATCCACACAGTCAAAGGCTTTAGCATAGTCAATGAAGCACGAGTAGATGTTTTTCTGGTACTCTCTTGCTTTCTCCATAATCCAGCGAATGTTGGCAAAGTTTACATTTTACAAAGTGTCCCACCCCCAAGTTAATGCGCATTCAGAGATTACAATTATCTTCTCTAGGTAGAAGTTCTCCCTTATCCTCGGCAAATCTGGAAGGCTTGCCTCTCTCTCTCTGTCTCTCTCTCTGTCTCTCTCTCTCTCTCTCTCTCTCTCTCTCTCTCTCTCTCTTTCTCTCTGTCTCTCTCTCTCTCTCTCTCTCTCTCTGTCTCTCTGTCTCTCTGTCTCTCTGTCTCTCTGTCTCTCTGTCTCTCTGTCTCTCTCTCTCCTGATAGACAAGTCCGGCTCAAGCCGCCCGTTGCTGCTCACAGCCCAAATTAGTGCTGCAGACAATTGCCTCCTGGATCTCTGGACTGTGTTCTCTCTTGGATTCTCTTCTCCTGCTCCACCCAGGAATGGAATGGTGTGTTGGGCAGACATGGGAGGGGAGGTGGGACTAAGGTTGCCAACCTCCATCTGGGCTCTGGAATTCTCTCGGAATAACAATTGCTCTCTGGACTACACGGATCAGTTTCCCTGGAGAAAACGGCAGGTTCAGAGGGTGAACTCTCTGGTATTACATCCCTGCGGAGCTACCTGCCTACCCCAGACACCACCCTCCAGGATCTGCCCCCAAATCTTCACAAATTTCCCAACTGAGAGTTCGTAACCTTAGGTGGGACACATTTGACCCCTGTCCTAGACTCCTGGGGTGGAAGAAGACGAAGAAGAAGAAGAGATTGGATTTGCACCCCGCCCTTCACTTGGAGCCTCAGAGCGGCTTACAAACTCCTTTCCCTTCCCCTCCCCACAACAGACACCCTGTGAGGTAGATGGGGCTGAGAGAGCTCTTGACAGAAACTACTCTTTTTCAAGAACAGCTCTTGTCAGAACTACGGCTTGCCCAAGGTCATCCAGCAGGTGCAAGTGGAGGAGTGGGGAATCAAACCTGGTTCTCCACAAGGAAAAGCTGTGTCTCACACACACACCCCGGGATGCCAGCATCCAGGCGGGAACTCGGGATTCCTTGAATTACACCTCCTCTCCAGGCTACAGAGATCAGTTCCTCTGGAGAAAATGGATGCTTTGGAAGGTGGGCTCTGTGGCATTTCGCCCCAGAGAGGTCCCTGACTTCCTCAGGCTCCACCCCCAAATCTGCTGGAGTTTCCCAACCTGGAGCTGGCAACCTTACCGTCACATCCCCCGCCGGTGGCCAGGTGGGACCTGGCAACCCTGCCCCAGACACACATGTGGAGAGATTTCTAGAACCCGGCACTTGGATTCTGAACCCCCAGGCAGAAGCCTGGTCTGCCAATAACTTCATTCGGTTGCTTTATTTATGTTGTTTACAGGGGTCATTTCCTGCAGGAGCGCACAGGAGCGGAGCTCCGGCAGTAAAGAGCCCAGGTGGCGGGAACATGCAACAAGCCCCACCCCCTGCTCCCAGCAGCCCTCAGTCAGAGCAAGAAGCAGCCAGGTAAGTTGCAGAGGCCCCCCCTGGTCCCCCGGCCCAAAACAGTCCAGTGGCACCTTTAAGACCAAGTTTTATTCAGGTACAAACTCTCCCTCCTCTGCAAGGACAGATCTGCATGTCACCCCCCCACCCAAGAGCTAGCAATCCAAAACAGTCCAGTGGAGCCTGAGCGGTGGGTGTTGCCTTCTGACACACTTCCGGTGATATCAGGGGGCGTGGCATATGCAAATAAGTTATGCTAATGAGTTATGCTAATAAGCTCCTGCACCTCTTTTTCTACAATATGACCCCTGGTTGTTTATATGCCGCCTTTCTCACTTGGACTCATGGCGGGCTAAACAGAGTGAGTCAATACCATCAACGGATGAGACAGTCAAGAAACAATCAAATAGGATTTGGGTTGTAGAACCAATCAGAAATGTAAAAGCAGGATTCAAGCAAAGCATAAGTATCGACATGACACCTTGGGCTGGCCCTGCCTATAGAAATCAAAGTGGAGCGAGTTGTTTTCCATATCTTGCTTAAACCGAAACGTCTGCGTTTGAACTTGCCTTACCATCCTTTCCCTCCTTTAGGGCTGCCAACCTCCAGGCGGGGCCTGGGCTTTCCCTAGAATTACACCTGATCTGCAGAAGATGGCTGCTTCAGACTCTATGGCACCCTATCCCCAATGTTCTTGCTAAGTCTCCACCCCCAAATATCCAGGAATTTCCCAACCTGGAGATGGCAACCCTATGCTCTTTCCATATTTGACTGACCTAGCTAGAAGAAGAAGGAGAAGAGATTGGATTTATACCCCGCCCTTCACTACCCAAAGGAGTCTCAGAGCAGCTCACAAACTCCTTTCCCTCCCCCTCCCCACAACAGACACCCTGTGAGGTAGGCGGGGCTGAGAGAGCTCTTGACAGAAACTGCTCTTTTTTTCAAGAACAGCTCTGAGAGGACTATGGCTTGCCCAAGGTCATCCAGCAGGTGCAAGAGGAGGAGTGGGGAATCAAACCCGGTTCTCCCAGATTAGAGTCCGTGCACTTAACCACTACACCAAACTGGCTGTACACCAAACTGGCTCTACACCCCTTCCATCTACAGCTAAGGGAAGGGGGGTATTTCTTGTTCCGGGTTGCAACTAGCACTAGGGGTGGTTTAGGTTTTCCAGCTCCTGATTGGGAAATACCTGGAGATTTGGGGGGTGGAGCCTGTGGAGAAGGCGGGGTTTGGAGAGGGGAGGGGCCTCAGCAGTGTATAACGCCATAGATTCCACCCTCCAAAGCAGCATTTTCCCCCCCAGGGAACCTGATCTCTGGAGATCAGTTATAATTCCAGGAAGAAGAAGAGAGAAGAAGAGATTGGATTTATACCCCGCCCTTCACTACCCAAAGAGGATCAGAGCGGCTTACAAACTCCTTTCCCTTCCCCTCCCCACAACAGACACCCTGTGAGGTAGGCGGGGCTGAGAGAGCTCTTAACAGAAACTGCTCTTTTTCAAGGACAGCTCTTCTCAGAACCATGGCTTGCCCAAGGTCATCCAGCCAGGTGCAAGTGGAGGAGTGGGGAATCAAACCCGGCTCTCCCAGATTAGAGTCTGCGCACTTCACCACTACACCAAACTGGCTCTGCAGACCGCACCTGGAGGTTGGAATCCCTAGCCTGTCGCTACTTCTTTGGCAAATACATTTGGGAATGAAAGGGACTCCCCAGATAACTGGTGTTTCTCCACTGATATTTGTGAGACTCTAGAACAAGAGTCAATGCAAAGACAAGCCTAGTTTTTTCTAATTTTTAATTGATTTTTAAAAATTTATTTAAGCATAGAACATATTACAAAAACAAGAAGAAGAATCAATGCAACAGAAATCTGCCTGTGAAAAGGAAAGTATGTTCCACAAGGTCACTGTTTTAGGAAACTACGTCATTTGAGGAATATATAGCGGTACAGTCCAGGGGTCGTTTCCTGCAGGAGCGCACAGGAGCGGAGCTCCGGCAGTAAAGAGCCCAGGGGGCGGGCACATGCAACAAGCCCCACCCCCTGCTCCCAGCAGCCCTCAGTCAGAGCAAGAAGCAGCCAGGTAAGTTGCAGAGCTCCCCCCAGCCCCCCGTTCCAAAACAGGCAAGTGGCACCTTTAAGACCAAGGTTTATTCAGGTACAAGCTCTCCCTCCTCTGCGAGGACAGATCTGCATATGTGTCCCCCCCCCAATAGCTAGCAATCCAAAAGAGTCCAGCCTGAGTGGTGGGTGTTGCCTTCTGACACACTTCGTATGATATCAGGGGGTGTGGCATATGCAAATAAGTTATGCTAATGAGCGCCTGCACCTCTTTTTCTATTAAATGACCCCTGGTACAGTCTATAGGCAGTCAGTAGCAGTATACGTAACTGAATATAACGCAATCAATGTTCCCGCTAAGCTGTGGGGTCTTATGAGCAAAAATTCTACTTTGGGAGCGACTGCATAAATTAGTTTGCTCTGGAGCCATCCTTCCTGAGCTAAGACAAAAATGTGTGAAGCAGAGGCTAAAAGACTGTGAGCTAGCTCACACTAACTAAGCTTAGAGGGAACACTGAACGCAACATAGTATAACAGACAACCGGCTCAGTCAGTGTCGTTGAAGTGTCATTACGTGTTGCTTTAGAGTTTAATCGGACAAGGTCTTATGTTCATGTCTCAAAAGGTATATCACTGATCTGTACAGCGGGTTTACTGGAATCACATCAGCCTCCGCCGTGTAGCTGATGAGCAAGCCGGGCTGACTTCTTTGCTGAAACGCGGGAGTCACTCCACACACACCTTCGACATTTGCTGAAATGCCTGCTTTAAAGTCCGTTGACGGAGAGGCTGTTGTTGAGATCATAGGCACTGCCGCTCTCGTCTTGCAAAAGGAGCTTCTCGATGGTCAGCGTGCTCATCTCCTTCCTCTCCTCCTCCAGCTCTTGCGGGACCGGTTCTGGAACTGGAAGGGGAAGAGGAACAAACTGGGGGGCTGGGAGGGCCGTTGAGGCTGGTGGGTACTGCAGCGAAGGGGTCGGCAAGGTCGAGATGGGCTGAGTCCACGGGAAATAGCTCAGGGGCGGCTGCTGGTCCATCACGTCTAGGTGAGGCACGACAGCCGGCGTGGAGGGTCTCGCCTGTTAGAGAAACCACACCGACCCATCAATCAGGCTGACCTGAGGATTGGCTGCTCTCCCATACATGGAAGCAGCCATTCGAAAAGCCGATTCTCACATGTGTTTCTCACCGTGCCGCTGGCCAACCCTTGATAACTGCCAAATTTTGAAAGGGCACGGTGGGTCACAGGGCTCTTTTTGGGCAGGAACGCACAGGAACGGAGTTCCGGCTTGCTCCTGAGTTGGCCACGCCCAGCAGGAGCTCATTAGCATAATAGGCCACACCCAACAGCAGAAACTCAGTAGGAATGGCTACATTAGGGGTGTGTGGCCTAACATGCAAAGGAGTTCCTGCTACCAAAAAAAGCCCTCGGTTTTGGTAACAAACAAGGTAAACAGAATAAGAAGCAAAAGGTGGGCGTGGCTGGATGAGCACACTTCTGGTAACATGGGGGCGTGGACTAATATGCTAATGCGCTGTGCTGCCAAGGCTGTGGCCTAATATGCTAATGAGTTTCTGCTGTTGGGTGTGGCCTATTATGCTAATGAGTTCCTGCTGGGCTTCTTCTACAAAAAGAGCCCTGTATGACAGTCCCCTTTAGGGTATTCAAGACAACATGGCCCATCTACATGTGCAAGTCAACACTTGATGGTGCAGTGGCCCCGAACACGCTTGTGTAAAGGGGCCCGGTGTTTGTGTGATCCTCGAGATAGAACCATAGAGTTGGAAGGGGTCATAAAGAGACCATCTAGTCCAGCCCCCTGCCCAATGCAGGACCAGCCTAAAGCATCCCTGACAAATATCAACCTGATAGGTTGGTTTAATGTACAGTAGGTGTGGCTACATTAGCCCGGAGTGTTTAAATACCGAGCAGCTGAAATGGACAAGCTGTTTGGGCTATGAGGAGTTGTACCGTGTCAGAAGAAGTCGATTGAAGAGCTGAATAAACTTGAGTTTTGCTGAATCACTCTCTGACTATTATTGTTAAGCACGGACTTAACAGGGTCCAATCCTATGCTGCCAACTGGAACGGCTCCTCGCCCTCCTCCAAACGACAGCCTTTCAAGTATCGAAAGAGAGCAATCCTGTCCCCCCTCAGTCTCCTCTTCTCCAAACGAAACATTCCCAGTGCCCTCAGCCTTTCCTCTTTGGGCTCAATCTCCAGACCCCTGATCACCCTCGTCGCTCTCTTCTGCCCCCTCTCGAATGCAGAATTCCAGGTCTACCTGGGGGATACCAGTGTGGGTTCCAACTCTCTCTCTGCTCACATGCAGTGGGGTTGGGACAAGTACCACTCTGGCTCTATTCCCTTTCCGTAAATGGCAGTACTGACCTGGATTTATAAGTTGCTGGGATGAAGAAAACAGATTTTTAAAAGAGGGGGGTAGATTGGGTCATGGGCTCTGGCCTCCTCCAAAACAGGCCCGTAGCCAGGATATTTTGGTTCTGGGGGCATTTACATTTTTAAGGGGGTAGTTAATTACGGTGAATTAAGTTCATCCGGATGTCTGTTTTTAAAGGGGGAGGCTCCAAGCCTGTTTCTAGCCCTCCCATTCAAGGCTATTTGTGGGGCAGGGCTCTTAATTAGGCTTGCCAAGTCCCCCCGGGGGGCGGCACCTTTAAGACCAAGTCCAGTGGCACCTTTAAGACCAAGTTTTATTCAGGTACAAGCTCTCCCTCCTCTGTGAGGACAGATCTGCATGTTCCCCCCCCCCAAATAGCTAGCAATCCAAAACAGTCCAGTGGAGCCTGAGCGGTGGGTGTTGCCTTCTGACACACTTCCGGTGATGTCAGGGGGCGTGGCATATGCAAATAAGCTATGCTAATGAGTTATGCTAATGAGCTCCTGCACCTCTTTTTCTACGAAATGACCCCTGCTCTGTACCCTGGAGATCAGTTGTAATTCTGGGAGATCTCCAGGCCTCACCTGGAAGTTGGCAATCCTAGAACAAGTCCATCTGTTTCAATCTGGCAGAGAGCATTCTTCCACATTCCCTAACCTAGGAGCGGGGTCTTCTCAATGGTGGCACCCCATTTTTTTGAAATTTGATTTCACAGTTTGTCTGCTGACTCTTTTATATTGCATGCCTTATTTTTATACTGGATTTCTATTTGGGTTTTTTAAAAATCAGCTTCCAGGCTCTGGTTGCCAAATGATTTATTTGATACTGCCTCTTAGGGTTGGACTGACCCTTTTAATAATGATAAAGTTCTTTTTTTGGTCTGTTGCCCTAGAAGGCCAATAGCAACCAGATCTTCCTGCTTACAGATTTCACGGTTTACCAAGCATTTCTAGAATATCCAGTTAGTTCCACTTTTCGAAATGGTTTTATTCTGCCGTGTGGGGGAGAGGGGGTCCGTATGTGCAAAGTACCTTGAGTGGCAAACCATATAAAGAAAAGTATTATTAATTGCAATTGTAAATGCTGCTGTATCAAACGTTGTGAAAATATTGTGCTGAAAAACAGAAAGTCGAAATAGACCACCCAGGCCTCCCTGCTAATATTCAAATCTGATATTTGATATTCTGGGTAGCCAGACAGAACAATAGGATTTATGGCCGTCTTCCGTTACAACAGCTCAAATGCTGTGAATCAAAACCGTGGGACTCCTTGGCTTGGTCGAGGTTTCGGGTAAGTTGACCCTTTCCTTCTTTTGGCAGCTGGAGACAACAATACCCTAAGGGTCCTTCTGTCCACGAAGCTCAATGTCTAAATTAAAAGCACAGAGGTTTTCTCCCCACCACCACCAATTTTCCTCCAAACCATCCAAAACTGAAAGTACTGAAGTTGAACATTCACGAGATAATATTCAAATATTTGCTGACTATTCACAACAGTTTCATATCCCCCTGCTATGTGTGAGAAACGCAGAAGGCAGGTATTTTAAATAATAAGTAATTATTTGATGATGGCGTGCGATCATTCTTGTTTTGGGGTTTGGGCCATCGAGTTGCAGCCGACTTTTGGCAACCCTGTAGGGTTTCCAAGGCCAGAGGCATTCAGAGGTGGTTTGCCATTGCCTGCCTCTGCGTACCTACCCTGGACCTCCTTGGGGGTCCTTCCACCCAAGTACTGACCGGGACTGACCCTGCTTAGCTTCTGAGATCTGACAAAATCTGGCTAGCCTGGGCTACTCAGGTGGGCTCTTTTTGTAGCAGGAACTCCTTTGCATATTAGGCGACACACCCCTAATGTGGCCAATCCTCCAAGAGCTTACAGAGCTCTTCTTACAGGGGCTACTGTAAGCTCTTGGAGGATTGGCTACATTAGGGGTGTGTCGCCTAATATGCAGAGGAGTTCCTGCTACAAAAAGAGCCCATATTGCAATTATAGTATGTGGTAATTGCCAGTGGTGTGATTTGCTGGGAGTGGCTGGAGAAATCATATTTGAATTCGGCAAAGAGGCAGACAGACCTACTGGGGGAGATCCTACACACCCTCAGATCTTTCTCAGTGACTCTGTCGTATGTGCCTAATACATTTGAGCGGTGTTCCAGCTAAGCTGAGTTAGTGTAAGCTAACTCACAGTTTTTTAGCCTCCGGCTCACACATTTTTGTCTGAGCTCAGGAAGGATGGCCAGTTTGGTGTTGTGGTTAAGTGCACGGATTCTAATCTGGGAGAACCGGGTTTGATTCCTCACTCCTCCATTTGCACCTGGCTGGATGACCTTGGGCAAGCCATAATTCTGGCACCGCTGTCCTTGAAAAAGAGCAGTTTGTGTCAGAGTTCTCTCAGCCCCACCCACCTCACAGGGTGTCTGTTGTGGGGAGGGGGAGGGAAAGGGAGGGTTATAAATCCGATCTTCTTCTTCTTCTCCAGAGCAAACTGATTTATGCAGCAGCCAAATCGTTCGCTCACAACTGTAATGCCAGTAGCTCACAAAGTAGAATTTTTGCTCACAAGAATCCACAGCTTAGAGGGAGCATTGCTTCTGAGGTAGGGTTACCAACTGATGCTGGCACCCAGGTGGGACAATTTGAGAGGGCAGCGACAGGCAATCTGGCGGGCCACCAACTTGCGATGTCACTTCCGGTGTGAAACCGGAAATGATGTCATTGCGTCAGGGTGACATTCTAGGATTCACCCAAAACCCATAGAGTCAAATAACCCCCCTCCACTTTCCTACCACCACCTTGTTGAGTAGTGACAGGGGAAAAGGGTTCAAGGCCAACCTGATCTCAGGTGTGGGGGATGAGCACACAGGATGCAGACTTTTCACGAGCACAACCAAAGCTGCAGAAGGGTTACAACCCCCCAAATGAGAACTGGAGTTCTCCTGGAAGTGCAACTGATGAGAAACGGAAGTCTTACAGTGGCTACAGAGGGCAGGAAGAAGAAGAAGAAGAAGGAGAAGAAATAGTAGTGGTAGTAGTAGAAGGAGGAGGAGGAGGAGGAGGAAGAGGAGAGAAGAAGAAGAAGAGATTGGATTTATACCCCGCCCTTCACTCGGAGTCTCAGAGCAGCTTACAATCTCCTTTCCCTCCCCCTCCCCACAACAGACACCCTGTGAGGTAGGTGGGGCTGAGAGAGCTCTCTCGAGGACTGCCCTTGAGAGAAGAGCTCTGAGAGAACTTGTGACTGACCCAAGGTCACACCAGCAGCTGCATGCGGAGGAGTGGGGAATCAAACCCAGTTCTCCCAGATTAGAGCCCGCACTCCTAGCCACTACACCAAACTGGAAAAGGAAGAGGAATTGGATTTATACCCTGCCCTTCATTTGGTGTCTCAGAGTGGCACTTTCGACCGACCAACCAAACAAACACCCACCACAGCCAAACTTACCGCAAAGTTTGTGATCAGTGGCTGTGATGCGTAGGTCAGTACCGAGGATGTCCCGACAAGCGTATAGCTGGGGCACACGGACTGAACGTACATATCCGCCGTGTAAGGGCAGCTGACTGCTTCGTGCGACACATAATCTGGGTATGTGGTCCACTGGGTCAAAGGCTGTAGAGAGGCGGGGGCCGGTTGCGCCAGCCACCCGGAGTAGAGCGAGGTTTCATCCGTAACGGGCAACGAAGGAGCAACCAAGTCCGACTCTGCGCAGACCTGACCTGCAATGAAGCACAGCGGTTTAAATTCACCGGTGTGTGTGGGGGGGTTCCCCCCCGAAATCAAAGCAGTGATCAAAAGGGTGGGGGGAGGGAAAAAATTCTGAAAGCATTACCAGTGGGTGAATAGGATGGAAGCGGCTGATGGGGGAAAAACACCTACAGGGAAAGAACAGATTGGCATCAGTCGTTGAGGCATGATACAGATACCAGAAACACGATTACTCAGAGGCCAAGAAGGAAACTTATTTCAGCACTTTTCGCAGTTTGACCCGCTCCAAAGAAACGCAAGCCCTTCATTTGGAGAATGGAGGAGGGGTCCCAGAAGTATCATCTTTTCTTTTCTGTTCCACATACATGCTGGGGTCAAGCTCAAGGCCAGTGTTCCCTCTAAGCTGAGTCCGTGTGAGCCAGCTCACAGTTTTTTAGCCTCCAGCTCACACCTTTTTGTCTTCGCTCAGGAAGGAGCTAATTGATGTGGTAGCCAAATCACCAGCTCACAACTTCAGTGCTGGTAGCTCACAAAATATAATTTTTGCTCACAGGACTCCACAGCTTAGAGGGAGCGTTGCTCAAGTCCCCACTCGAATTTAAGTCTCAGCTTTTTGCAGTTTTGCCTCCTTTCGGAGTCCTGCAAAAATCTCCTTCTAGCTCCCCTTTTTACCTGCCATCCCCACACGGCCGGTTGGGTGCCGCGGCGCTGACATCACGGAATAAACAGAGGAGTGGAAGCTGCTTTCCCCACCACCACCACCCTCTCTTACCGTGGTTCCTGCAGCCATGTTTGCATTCTGAACACTTCCACGTTTTCGCTTCAGAAGCTCCTTCACGGGCTCTTTGACGCGGACACCTTGATAGGGGCGCGGCAGGGGCAGTTGCTCAGGTGTGGAAGCTAAGCAAAAATATTTGGATAATTAGTTTTCTCCGGCAGTACTTTGGATATTTCCCTTTCTTGGGCAAGGGGGAGAAACTCCCAGCACTCCTATGCTGCCCTTAGAATGATAGAATCATAGAATGTCAGTGTGATGTATCCGTCTCCGTATCCCAGTACTTTTCAGTACTTTTCAGTTAGAGTTGGAAGGGACCTTCCAGGTCATCTAGTCCAACCCCCTGCACTCTGCAGGAGCATAGCCGAAAGATAGCCTATAGCCCCTTCAGAGCAAAATGTTTAATTTGATTTTAATCGGGGAGGGGGTCAACGAGGCCACCCGTTGATGAGACGGTGTAAATGTGTGGACATGAAATAAGGTGCGATCTGGCAGGCGTCACAAGTGCTCCGCCCCAGTACCTGTTCGGTACCAAAGTTCAGACCTGAGACATGCTAAGCCAGAGATCTCCAACCTTTTGAGCCTGTGGGCACCTCTGGAATTCAGACACAGGGAGATGGGGACAAAATGGCTGCCACATAAGAACATAAGAGACGCCAAAGTTGGATCAGGCCAAAGGCCCATCCAGTCCAACACTCTGTGTCACACAGTGGCCAGAAATACCAGTGCCATCAGGAGGTCCAGCAGTGGGGCCAGGACATTAGAAGCCCTCCCACTGTTGACCCCCCCCCCAAGCACCAAGAAGACAGAGCATCACTTGCCCCAGAGCCCCTAGTTATACCTTGTGGCTAATAGCCACTGATGGACCTCTGCTCCATATGCTTATCTAATTCCCTTTTGAAGCCGTCCATGCTTGTAGCACCCACCACTTCCTGTGGCAGTGAATTCCATGTGTTAATCACTCTTTGGGTGAAGAAGTACTTCCTTTTATCCGTTCTAACCCGACCGCTCTGCAGTTTCATGGAGTGCCCACGAGTTCTTGTATTGTGAGAAAGGGAGAAAAGTACCTCTTTCTTTACCTGCTCTTTCCCATGCATAATCTTATAAACCTCGATCATGTCACCCCTCAGTCGTCTTTTCTCCAAGCTAAAGAGCCCTAAGCGCTTTAACCTTTCCTCATAGGGAAAGTGTTCCAACCCTTTTATCATTCGAGTTGCCCTTTTCTGCACTTTTTCCAAAGCTATAATATCCTTTTTAAGGTGTGGTGCCCAGAACTGCACACAGTATTCCAAATGAGGTCTCACCATTGATTTATATAGGGGCATTATTATATTGGCTGATCTGTTTTCAATACCCTTCCTAATAATCCCCAGCATAGCATTGGCCTTCTTTATTGCAGTCACACACTGTCTCGACATTTTCAGTGAGTTATCCACTACAACTCCAAGATCTCTCTCTTGCTCAGTCTCTGCCAGTTCAGACCCCATCAATGTGTATTTATATTTAGGATTTTTGGCTCCAATGTGCATCACCTTGCACTTGGCCACATTGAACCCCATTTGCCATGTTGACGCCCACTTGCCCATCTTTGACAGATCCCTTTGGAGTGCCTCACAATCCTCACTGGTTTTCACCACCTTGAACAACTTTGTATCATCCGCAAATTTAGCCACTTCACTGCTTACTCCCATCTCCAAATCATTAATGAACAAGTTAAAAAGCAGTGGACCAAGTACTGATCCCTGTGGTACCCCACTGCTTACCACCCTCCACTGAGAAAATTGCCCACCTACACTCACTCTCTGTTTTCTATGAACTAGCCAGTTTTTGATCCATAAAAGGACTTGTCCTTTTATCCCATGATTTTTGAGCTTGCTTAGGAGCCTTTGATGAGGAACTTTATCAAAAGCTTTCTGGAAGTCAAGGTAAATAATATCTATTGGATCCCCCTTGTCCACATGTTTGTTCACCCCCTCAAAGAACACTAATAGGTTAGTGAGACAAGATCTTCCCTTACAGAACCCATGTTGAGTCTGCCTCAATAGGTTTTGTTCATCTATGTGCCTACTAATTCTTTCCTTAATAATGGTTTCCACCAATTTACCCGGTATCGACGTCAGACTGACTGGCCTGTAATTTCCCGGATCTCCTCTGGAACCCTTTTTAAAGATGGGAGTGACATTAGCTACCTTCCAATCCTCAGGAATGGAGGCAGATTTTAAGGAAAGATTACATATCTTTGTCAGGTGGAGCCAGCCACAAAATGTCAGGTAGTGAGGAAAGATTTACCCAACTGAATGCAGATTTCCAGAGAACAGCAAGGAGAGATAAGGAGGCTTATCTGAATGAACAATGCAAAGTAATAGAGGAAAACAATAGAATGAGAAGGACTAGAGATCTCTTCAAGAAAACTGGAGAAATCAAGGGAACATTCCATGGAAAGCTGGCCATGATAAAAGACAAAAATGGTAGGGACCTAACAGAAGCAGAAGTGATTAGGAAAAGATGGCAAGAATACACAGAAAAACTATACAAGAAGGCCCTCAATGTCCTTGACAACCACGACGGTGTAATCACTGACCTTGAGCCAGACATCCTAGAATGCGAGGTCAAATGTGTGACTGAACAACAACAACAGCAACAACAATAGTAACGCATAACAATTTGGGCAGAATCTCTGTTTAATAGGATGCCTTTTAAAATGAGCGTATGATTTTAAAATATTTTCTGGTATACACACTGCACACTTTCAGTATCTTTGTGTTGTGGCTGCAGCTGCTGCCAGAGGAATTTTGAAAAAATCTGCACAGCCAATCAGATCTCCAGCCCTGCTGGGCAAGAGTGCCACCTGGCCATGCTTTCTAAAAACATTTGGCAGGCACCAAGAAGGGAGTAGATGGGCGTCATAGTGCCCATGGGGCACCATGTTGGGGACCCGTGTGGTAAGCAATAATTGTGACTAGAGTTCTTTTGAACATGTGCAGAGTGCATTTCCCACAGACTCAAGTCTGAATGTTGATTGTTGAATGATGAATTATTGGTTGTGGGTGTTTCTGATTGCTTTGTGGATTTCGATTAAACTTATTTCAGTATCAGGATTTTGACAATTTTCTTCCACAGTTTTAATGGCAGGCCCTGGCAAATATCAAAGCTTGCATTGCAGACAGTTTCACAAAATGACTGGTTACTCTCCCTAGTTAGCTTGTGACTTGTCACCAGTAACTTTATTTATTTAATAAATCGACTAAATAAATAAACGTTGAGGGCACACCTACCTACACCACCAATTTAAACCGAGTTGAATCTGGTTTGGTTTCAATGAAAGGATCCTAGGAATTGTACCTTGGGACAGTTTGGGACAGCTTTGCAGATGCTTTGCTTGAGGACAATAGACACCAGTTTGGTGCAGTGGTTAAGTGTGCGGACTCTAATCTGAGAGAACCGGGTTTGATTCCCAACTCCTCCACTTGCAGCTGCTGGATGACCTTGGGCAAGCCGTAGTTCTGACAAGAGCTGTCCTTGAAAAACAGCAGTTTCTCTCAGAGCTCTCTCAGCCCCACCTACCTCCCAGGGTGTCTGTTGTGGGGAGGGGAAGGGAAAGGAGTTTGTAAGCCGCTCTGAGACTCCGAGTGAAGGGCGGGGTATAAATCCAATCTCCTCCTCCTCCTCCTTGTCTTCTTCTTCTTCATTTGTATTTAATTCATTTCTACCCTGCCTTTCCCCCCAGTGGGGACCCAAAGTGGCTGACATCCTTCTCCTCACCTCCATTTTATTCTCACAACAGCCCTGTGGGGTAGGTTAGGCTGAGAAAGCGTGACTGGCCCAAGGTCACCCACCCAGTGAGCCTCCATGACACGAGTGGAGATTCAAACCCGGGTCTCCTAGATACTAGTCTGACACTCTTAACCACTACAACTTGTAGATTTATAGCTGCAAGCAGGGGTCATTTCCTGCAAGAGTGCACAGGAGCGGAGCTCCGGCAGTAAAGAGGCCAGGGGGCAGGCACATGCAACAAGCCCCGCCCCCTGCTCCCAGCAGCACTCAGTCAGAGCAAGAAGCAGCCAGGTAAGCTGCAGAGCCCCGCCCCCCAAAAAACCCCCAGTCCAGTGGCACCTTTAAGACCAGGTTTTATTCAGGTACAAGCTCTCCCTCCTCTGCGAGGACAGATCTTTATGCCCCCCCTCCCCAATAGCTAGCAATCCAAAACAGTCCAGTGGAGCCTGAGCGGTGGGTGTTGCCTTCTGACACACTTCCAGTGATGTCAGGGGGTGTGGCACATGCAAACAAGTTATGCTAACGAGTTATGCTAATGATCTCCTGCACCTCTTTTTCTACGAAATGACCCCTGGCTGCGAGGGTATGCTGTTTGGGACCCCTGATGAATAACATGATTGGGAACTGGTGTAAAAGGCACAGCGTGCAAACAGGCCCTCGTGTTTCTGTGCTCTTTAGCTAACTGGGATGGTTACAGGTCATGGGGTTGAAGCTAGTGAACCGGTAACGCTTCCTCTGTACTACCTGGGCCGTAGCCAACTCAAAAGCCACTCTGGAGTCTTGTGATAGCATGAGTCACAAGGAAATATAATTCAGGGTTGGTTTTTTTTGTTCCTATCTGAAACTGTTAAGCTTTATCACACGTGAAGTATTTCTGTGGCAATGAGGTGCCGCTGCATCAAAGCTCAGGAAATCCGTGAAAGATAGACAAAATCCCTTCATAGCCAACTTTCTGCTGCCTGCTGCGACTGAAATCGGGACGCCGCAGAGCCGAGAGAGATAACTCCCCTTTCACTCTTTGCGCTCAGCAGCGGCTTGACAAACAGGCCAAAGTTGACACGCAAAAGGAGTCCAGATTCATCTGAAGTCCAGAGCAGTGTTCCCTCTAAGCTGAGTCAGTGTGAGCTAGCTCACAGTTTTTTAGCCTCCGGCTCACACATTTTTGTCTTAGCTCAGGAAGGAGGGCTCCAGAGCAAACTAGTTTATGCAGCAGCCAAATCGCTCGCTCACAGCTTTAATGCCTGTGGCTCACAAAGTAGAATTTTTGCTCACAAGACTCCACAGCTTAGAGGGAACATTGGTCCAGAGTCTAAAGTCTCTTCATATCCATAGCAGAAACGTAAACTGCAAG